CTTGAACTTCTCCTTTTCTGGTTTTCCTTAGTGATTCTGTCCTCCCGAATGAGACTCTATGTCGAGGTTTTTGAACTCACTGAGAATATGAGACAGCATGATTGTTTACATCTTAAAAATAGAATCAAATTCTGGGTAGGGCTAGATATATTATTTAGTGCTGATGTGATACCTGAGATTATGTACAGATACTATTTTTGCTGCTGAGTGGCATTAAAGTCAGAATCATTCAACAATCTACCACCAACACACACCGCTTCTATATGCTTTCAACTGTTGTGCACAATCAGGCAGCAACTGGGAAAATCCCCGTCTGAAATAAACAGCTTGTGGCAGGGAGACATGTTGTATGAAAAGAATCACTGCATTTTATTTATTTTCCGCTGCTACTTCAATGGCAGCCTTTTGAAAATGTTCCAGACAACAGAACAAGCTAAATAACCTGTGATGCTCTTCCACTCTCCCTCCCTCTCTCTCTCATGTGTGTTAAAGTGCTATCCTGTCTACAGCTGTGGTGGAAACACAGGCAGAGACAGACGTTTTTAAAGGCGCACCTTCTCATCTCACAACACAATTGTTCCTCAGAGTTTTTGTGGAGGAGCCTCGGAGCAAAGTCGCTCTTCAATGAGCGGGAAAAGAGCAAAATAACTGTGGTTTTTGCAGTTGATTTCCTGCATAGGGGAGGAAAAATGAAAGAGCTTTGGAAAAGCCGCAGTTTATGTGGAAAGTAATTAGCAAATGTTTCAGCACACAAACTTAACTACTAATTAAACACCCTCTTTTTAATTGATTTTGATTTGCATACCATTCAGGCTAAAAGCTAGTACAGAAGAAGAAACCTCTCTCTCTCAGAATGCAATCCGTTCCTTCAACCCAAAATGTATATTTACAGCTTTATCCTTGGCTAGATAACATGCAATTTACTTCGGAGCCAACTAGCCAGTGAACTCCACTGAGGAGAGACTCTCTGCGTTGGTCCGTCACTCCGGTTTAATCGAGCTCGAGAAGCGATGGGAGGTTTCAATCACACTTGACATAAAGACACTTAAACGTGAAAGCGGCATTGATCTCTCCGACCCTCAGTCATGCCTCACAGCACGGACTGACTGTCTTCCATTAGAAACCCAGAACGGCATCCAGGCAACAGAACTCATTAAACAGGCCTAATTGAATCGGTGGCTTCCTCCATTTTTCAAAGCGCAGAGGACAAATTCTAAATTCTACTAAAATAATATGCAGCATTGAATCTCTTAAAAACACTTTTCCTCACACCCACGCAATCAAGATAAAATGATGCTCTGCAGTAGATTTTTGCAACCAACACATTTTGCCAAACAACAAGAATGAAATATTCCCTCAGTAGCGATTGAAATGCACAGCTACCAGCTGTTGTCCTGTCCGTGTGGGCATGGCTGGCTGTCAGCAGGCTTAGCCAACACTGCGCCTTGCATATGAAACAGGACATGGCCCTGTATCCCCTTGGGGAGTTCACTTCCTCTGAGCCCCCACCACCACTGCCCCACCTCCCTTCTGAAACAAGCAGCCCCTTCAGCTGGAGGCCAGATATCCCGAGCAGCAGTGGGGGCGTCTCAGGAGTTGGGGCGATTGTGGAAGTAAAAGGGGACAGCGGCCAAATATTTGAGTGCAATGCTTTGGAACCAAGTATCACAAACCCACCAAAGACACGTTTTGTCTCCTTTTTCCATTTTCTGGGCTTAATATTTCTGTTACAACACTTTAATTTCAGCCTTTCCTATAATGAGCCACAGGATAAAGCCTGCAGGAATGTGTCGCGTGTCAGCACAGCATATGTGAAGCATAAACGCAAAATGGCTTCTATCCTGCCTTATTGTTCTCACTGGGTTCTTTCTTCATGCCTGCCTCTAAACAAATCACTTCCCACCCCTTCAGAATGAACATGAATCACTGGATAAGGAGGAAATCTGGAGTCCTTCAACCATGAGCAGCGGAGTCACGGTTGACTGTAAGGACACAGGGACAGGTTTCACTCAAGCCCAGTAAAGACTGTTTTCATTACTAGATGTGTAAAACATCTCCACCTCTCTGAAGTAGTGGCGGGTCTGAAATGTCAGCACAGACTGACTGCCTGTCTGTCTGCATCTCATGAATGAGCATTCATGTGTAAAAAAAATTCCATGACTCCAACAAAGACACATTGCTCTATTTCCAAAACTGAAAGAGGTGTTACGGAACAGGAGCATCGCCATTTAGGAAAGTGCCAAAAAAAGAAACAGTCTGATGTAAACCTGCTGGGTTTGAACCACGCATGAGTCAAGCTGGAGCTGGCTCGACAGCAAGCATCCCCCTCCACCCCCCGCCCCTATTCCCTTTCACATATCTCCCTTAAACAGACGATTGTGCAGAAATCACATCATCTTGAGGGCGAATTATAAAGTTAGCAACATACTAAATCTGCAGCCGCAATCCTTATCTAAACATCCTGATGCGGAAAGCCACTGATTATGTGTGCCACCCACATGTGTACCAGCCAGAAACCAGACGACTCGCAGCCAAGGGCTGGCCTGAGCAACTCGGAGAAGTGTTCCACACCCAGCACATAAACTAATTTAAACAATTCAATAGTTCACTGCATGTGCTCACTGCTGTGGCTCACATCCCCAAGATAAGAACAGAGAATAAGCTTTTACTGCACTTCTTCCACGAATGCATGCACGCTGCAAAAAAAGCTGTTTTTACGCAAACAGGCTGTGATTCAAACACATGTATTCGTCTCAGAAGGAAACTCTCAAAAGAGCGTCTGCAAGGAGGGAAGTGTGGCAATATCACTTCCTGTGTCTGTCTGCATGCGAGACGGCTGCTAACACTTTTGTAACGCCCTCATTAATATTCACAGAGCCGCCCGGTTCCTCCTCTGACAGCACTCAGATGATGGCGTTTTCTCTTGCGCTGAAAGGCAGAAGGCAGCGCAACGCCGTCTAGCACTTTGCTTCACATCCTCCAAGAACATTTTCAAAGTGCCTTGGCTGTGCTGAAATGTGCTGACAAAGGGGAGCTCTGCTGCCATAAGTTTAGCAATATTCCTCAACTCCTACCCAGCATGCATTCCCTCATTAGTTTTTCTTGAAACAGGGTACTTGAGGAAAAACAAGGAGGAGTCGAATTAAAAAGCGTTGTAGAGGCTCAAATGAGCCTTGGGCTTAACACTTGGGTGCCCCATCGGCACTTATAAAAACAGAAGAGGCCCCTGAAAGTGGGGGTCCTTGAGGTGTGCCCACTCGAGTCTGAATGAAAGTGTGTGCCAAGAGTAGGTATTCACCATGCATGGCAGGACTTTGGCACTCTCCAGGACTTCAAGGGTCTCCCTGATTTCTCTTTCTTTGGCAGATTCCCCTGAAAGAAGCCTTAGTGGAGGGCTGGAGGGAAGCTGCCTGTAAACACTTCTGCAGTTGCTTTCTGCACCTCATCAACAAGTCCACCACCCACAGAAGTCTGCTCTGGCTTCAAATCAGATGTAAAAAGTTAAAAAAGTAGGTGAGAGGGGGAGGATGGGTGTGAGTGTGTGTGTGTCATGCCTGGGGTAGGTGGATGTTTGGAGGGGGGATGGGTTCGATGTTTGCTGAATGCTCTCCTTTGTTTGGATCATATTATGTTTCCACCACAATACTTCTAAACCCTGCTTCATCAGCTCCATTCATGTGTAACAGTTCATGCAAATGGCTGCACTAGCCTTTTTTTCCCCTAGGGGGTGGGGTGGGGTGGGGGTGGGATTCCTTTTATCAGTCTACCACCAAACTACAACTCTGTAAACTCCTGCCTGCACACCAAAGTCCAGATTATAATCCCTTCATACATCTTTACAGTCAGCAGAGCTGGGGGAAGCATGGAAAACCAGATTCTGAGTCTAAACTACTTCATCTGGTCGGAAGTCTTGTATCTGTTCACAGAAACCACAGGAAACATGCAGAGCCAAAACTAGCGCGGCTGCTCTAATTCAGATTATTCAAACATTTACAACCATCTCCAGTAAAAAGCGAGTTGGGTGATGTGGATCCAACCAGAGTGCCGATTATAGCCACAGAAAGCCAGACACACAACAGCCAGGCGGACATTACATACATTAAATGTCACACACACACACACACACACACACACGAAACTGGAAAATTATTAGTCATAATAACCATAATCCCGCTGCTGACCGAGTGTATCCCTTCCCATGGGAACACACAATGAAAGACCAAGCAGAAATGCAGACGAGGAAGAGATAGCTTCTTTCCGACTGAAGAGTGTGAGGGTGTAAGGAAATGCCTTTTAATCTGCAGAAGGGAAGTAGAATTTCTTCACTTACATCTGAATTCATGTTTAATCTACACCCGTAGCTGTTGTTTACTGTGTCCCGTTGAGCCATTTGTTGTTAAATGAGATTGTATTTACAGTAGAGGCCAATAAAAGTGAAGCTGAGCGGTGTTTCACGGGCACATAATGGTTTTATTGCCACCAGAGGCGTTTGTGTTGTCACTGCTGGATGAGGTCCAATTAGTGACAATATGTCAATGATGAGCAAATACTGATTGGGACCCTTACACCGGCCCCCAGGTAGGCTACACACCTACTACACAATCCTTATAAGATTTAGCCCCAGATGGATATGGGGAATGATTAAGTGGTGTGGGGCCAACAGGGAATCTGTTAAACTGGTATCTACAGCACACCTTCTCACTGGAACCAGTTCTAGTCATATGCAGAGACATTTTGCTGGGACCCCCTGAACCCAGGAGGGCCACTAGGTTCCATTTAGAGGGCCACACTATCAACCTGATGGATATTTGGATCCGTTTAGCTGTATTTTAAAAAGCAACTTCAAACCCAGCTCTGTGCTGTCAGAGGGAGGAGAGGAAAATAAATACAAGTCAAACTGAGCTGCAGTGCACAAACTGGGAAATAAAATAAAAACAAACCAAAAAAGTACAAAAGCTTCACACCAAACTGGCCGAGGCGCAGCATGAGGGCCAACTTACCCTGGATGATGCTTTCCTCTTGTACTTGTTGGCGAAGTCAAATTTCTCCTTGATCTCGTCCAGGAGCTGCTCCAGGCGGGCCTTCTCCTCTTTCCCCGTGTAATCCTGTCCCAGGAGGATGTACGCCCTCCAGTTGGCCGAGTCGAAGCCCCAGTGGCAAGTCCTGTTCTCTTGCGCCTTGTGGCTGTGCACCACGAACTTGTGGGTCGGGTACATGAGTCTGCAGTCCATGCACTGGATGCACGCTGCGTTGGGGCTGGTGTACAGCTCCGGCACGAACAAGCCCTTGCACTTGCCGAAGCACTCGTGGTAGACTTTGAAGCTCCTCTCGGTGAGCTCCAGCTCCAGCGAGCCCCCGCTCAGCTCCTTCTTGCAGCGCGGCGGGTAGGCGCCTCCGTAGATCAGAGCGTTGCAGAGCCGCTCGGCGTCCGTCTTGGTGATGAGGCCGCAGGACGGCGCGGAGAAGGGCAGGATCCCCATAACTTTGAGGATCTCCAGCTGGTCCGCCGTGCACCGGGAGCAGTAAATGTGCAGTTCGTCGCACACCGAGTTGATCTGCTGCAGGCTGAAGTCCCGCAGGACCGTGTTCAGGATCTGCGGCAGGCACAAGCGCTTCTCCCCGCCGACCACGAAGCACGAGATGGTCTCGCTCTCCAGCACCGTCTCGCACCTCTCCGTGGAGCGGTCCGACGGGATGAACAGCGGGCCCGGCATCACCGGCGGCGGCAGATGCTGCAGAACCGGCTCGGGCTCCTTCCCGTCCTTCTTGAAGAGGAGCTCATGTTGCCACCGGGCAGAGAAAGCCGCCGGTCCGCCCAGAGAGCTCATAGAGCTGAGGTGAAACTGCTTGAGAGTTTGTTGCAGTCCCGGATGAGGCTGGAAGCTCTGCCGACTTACAGTCTCCATGTTTTTCCTACAACTTCAGAAGCGTAAATCCTTTTTGTCGTTGAATCGCGAGTATCAATCCGTCCCTGAACCTGATAAATCCACGGTGTCCCAGAACTGAACAAATTTGCGGAGCGCTTCATCAAACATCCAGTAAAAAGTCCCAGACGGCGAGTTTACAGTTTTATTCCCGTGACTACAGAGTGAACACCGGACAGTCGCTCCCTGCAGCGGCGCGCCGACTGTCCATAACTAAAGAGACGCGGCTCTCCAAAACTCCAGAGAAGCCAAAAGTTGCCTTTGTTGAATTCCAAAACGAAGTAGGCGAAGATGAACCCAAAGCAGGAGCTGTGAGTCGATACAGGTCGATAAGACAATCCTTATTTGAGGCTCTTTCCGCTGTCGAGGACTGCAGCACTCCGCTCCGTCGGCCCCCGCAGTTCACTCTGACTGTATGGAGATGAGAAGTCTGAGAGCCAGCCTGCTCGCACTCCCTCGCTCGCGCACTCTCTCTCTCCTCCCCAGTCTATGGCTCGCTCTCCGTCTCTCTCTCTCTCTCTCTCTCTCTCACCCCTCCCCCTCCCTCTGTGTTTGTGTCTGGCTCAGTCATTGAATCCCAGCCAGGAATGTGAGTGACTCTGCAGGCAGGCCGGGCTCTTCCAGGAACAAGCAATCACCCCCCGCCGCCCTGCGGAGCGCGCAAGAGGAGAGGCGCAAGTGAAGGGAAGACGGGTGCTGCGTTCAGGTCCTGTGGGGGGGAAAATTACTGTAAACTTTCTTACAGTAAATTCTGCAGTGGTGGTCAGTAACTAGATATCCCATGCAGATATCCCGAGTATCTCCATTTCATGCTCCTTTCATACTTCTACTGCACCAGAACTCGAAGGGAAATTTTCAAAAATATTTTTACTGTAGCTACTATTAATTTCACAGCAGGTTTTACATACAAAGCAGAACATAAAGCCATATTTAAAATAGTTAAAATAAGCTCGGCCAAGCTGCTTGATTATTAAAATACTTAGGTCTACATGTTAATAATAATAGCACATTACTAATACAGGTAGATAAGGGGTCATTCTGCATAAGTACTTTTATACTTCCTTTTTCTGAAGGCAGGGCTGTAATTGGCAGCAACTGAGTAGCCTATTGTTTTACGTTGCATTAATATTTTTTAGAACTTATATTTATTCAGGGAGTTTCACTGAGAGCAACCTCTCACTTGCAGGAAGGCCCTGATCACAATCACACCATTACACATTCACACCTGGAAGCTGCCCAGTACAACCGCAGCCTGGTCTGCCGGCCACTGAGCAGCTCCACTGGAGCAGTTGAGATTATGGGCCTTACTCAAGGGTACTTCGGTGGTGGTAAATCTTTTACTTTCCACACCCAGATTTATCCTGCCGTTCTGGGGATTGAACCTGCGACCTCCCGGTCACAAAGTCGCTTCTCTAACTTTTGGGCCGCTACTGCCCACAATAAATAAATAAGCCTAAATATTGTGCTAATGCCTTCTTTTTTTTACACAGGCTATGTCCTTATTAGCCTTCGTTGACTTGTAATAGATTTTTTGTAGAAGCTCTATTTATAGATGTGAGGAGTTCTTCCATCACTGAAATCACTGCTTGAGAAAGATTTAGGTTAAAAATAAATTAAGCTTAGACTAAAAGCTGCGTTTAAATCACGTGGCGTTAGAAGCAGTGGAGCCGACTTGCAAGACATTTTTCCCCAGTTATTGACCGGATTTGAAATCAACATACAGTTTTCCACGTGTGACTGCAGGCGTGTGGACGTCGACGTCAGATTTGCGGTCATTCAGCAACTGGATCGGAATTTCCACACAGAAGCTGATATTTACCGTCTTTGCCTGAACGTGTCAGAAGCATAGAGAGCGCTTCTGTGTGGATCGTTTGGTTCAGAGAGAGAGAAAAAAGCCCCGAGGACGATGGGTGCTGTTCTGCGAGAAAAGACAAATTTAGCTTTGGAAGGTGAAACGCAAACTTGCAGAACTGACTGCGGTTTGTTTATTTTCCCTTCTGCTTGAATGTGTTAAAATTGTTTGGCAAGTTGCGGCGAACAAACAGGTTTCATGTGCTGGCGACTTTGAGAGACAATCTCGCTAATGAAATGACGAGAGAAGGTGTTTTCCTTTTGTTTTCACAGATCAGCTGTGAGAAACTGTCAGGATCAAATCACTGGCACATAAAAAGTATATATTTTTAATTATTAAATGATTCTTTCCAACACGTTGACTTTGACATGTAGATTTTCTTTAAATAAATGCACTGTTACAAAGATTCCTTTTTTAGGTCACCATTGGATTAGATGTATGGCCTATTGATAACATAATTGTTCACGTTGTGTTCAGGGATGTTTTGGGGCCACATTATGTAAAAGAGTTATTTCTAAGGTTGACCTATGTGCAGATAACTTACTATGTCTCTACATCTTATTATAGGGAGTGAAGGAGTTACAGTAAAAGCTAAGTAACCATTCCTCAGGAAGTCATGTGTCCAGAGCAAGTTCAACTCCAGTGCTGATGAAGCAGTTTGCTGCTCCTGTGGCGTCCCCTAGCCAAACCCTGCTGTAACTGCAGCATGATGGGAGGGGGGGGCAAGACCTGCAAGCCAGCAGAGTCTGAGGGACAAATGATTAAATGTGTAAATGCACACATGAATATACTGTAAACCCCTGTCAAATATTATGATGATAACAATAGTGACTGTGTCAAATATGTATTTAATATTTTCATATTTAAACGGTCTTGGTCTTGGACATTGAGGACTCGGGACCAGTCAAGACCATAACGCTGGGAATATCAATAAATTGCTTTTGCATTGTCTGATTTATGTTAACATCCTAACTTTGATTGGATGCTAAATGTATTGCTTCAAATGCAACCAATAACCCTAATTATATATATTTTGTTCCTGTTAACAAGTATAAAGTATATCTTCTTAACGACTGTGATTGTAAACATGGAAAAGTTGAATAAAGATGCTTACGTTTATTTCAGCTCTTAGTGTTTGTATGTGGGTGTTTTAATGGGAATGTGGATCTTTCAAATCAATTTGAGAAGTATCTATGAGCTCGTTCCACATTTTATTGTGTGTCATGTAATGTGGGGAACTGGTCTTGGTCTTGACTCGGTCTCGCCCTCCCTCGGTCTTGGTCTCGACTTGGTCTCAGCCCCTAAAAGTCTTGGTCTTGTCTCGGCCTCAATAAACTCTGGTCTTGGTGTTGAGTTGGTCTCAGTTTGGGCGGTCTTGACTACAACGCTAGTCTAGGGGCCCTTGTGCAGCTACAGTGGACACCTATAGCCTGCTTCAGATGAGCTAAATGACTCACTGTGCTTTGGTGTAAGCCAGTGGTTCTCAAACCTTTACTGTCATGACCCCCTTTTAAAAGCTGAAAAAGTTAATGCCCCCCACTACATGTAAACAGATTGAATTCTTGGGGCGAGAAACAAATAAAAGAGCATGTTAGCATCACCAAAATGTTGCTTTTTTATTTCCCATCATAAATCATGTTCATTCATCCTGTGCATGTGTTCACTGCTGTATGTTTCTTGTGCTTTTTAACCTCGCTGCAGCAACAAATTGCCCATTTGGGACAAATAATAAACTGAATTGAGTGGAACAAGGAATCCACAAGAAACAAGTGGAATAAAAAGGGTTTCAATAAAAATAATAAATAAGTAAAGAGCTGAAGAACGCAAGAAAGGAAGAAAATACGTCATGAAATGAATCTGTGAATATATAACAGTGACGGGATGCTTGCATTATTGATCAAATGTACTGACCCTCCATCTAGACATATTTAACACAAAAACAATTCACAGGAAATGATGCATACGGTGAAACTCGTATCAATCTGAAGGTAGCCCACTTAATAAACATGAGAAACAGTCAAAGTGAAAATGAGTGTGAGCAGTTGCATAAACGAGTGTGGACGGTGGATGTGATGAGTTCACTGGGGCACTCATTGGCATGTATGAACAATGGCCACAAGGTTGGTGTCCTCTAGGTGGTGGTAGAGAGGCAATGGTGCCATGTTCCGCACTTAGAAGATAAGTGAAATTTATACTACTGCTTCAAATCGACGGCGTAGCCTCTGCGTAGCCCCCCTACCCTACGCCGTCACCTACCTGACATGCACCTCCTCAAAAATATAACACTCGTCAAGGCAACGCGGACCGTAAAGCTTGATTTATACTCCTGCGTAGCCAGGCATTTATACTTGTGCGTCCGTCAATCTGCAATTACACCCCCAAACGCTAGTCGGAAGTAGCGCTACAGCGTTCACTGTCTTGACTTTTGCCGAGAGGCAGAGGCTATGCCGACGATTTGACGCAGAAGTGCACTTAAGCTCTGTGATTGGTCACAGACCAGGATGAATTAAACAGAACACAGAATACATGAACTACCAAATGGGCCAAGGATGAATGAAACACAGAGCACATGTAAAATCTAAACGGGAAACAACAAACTAGTAAACAGAGCAAAGAACTAACACACAGAACCAGGACTTAACACTAAGACGTGAACAAAGACACAGAACTAAGATATGAAAACCTGGAAATGCAACGTGCAAGGCTGAACAGAGGAAAACCCAAAACCATGACATTAACAGTGTGTTCTTCTACGAATATTGCTGTTTATGCGTTCTGTCCTCCTTACTTGTTGTGGACGTGCCCCAAAAATTGATGCGGTATGATTGTGACACGATAAATTTGAGTTTTCATGTGTTGAGTAAGTTGTAGAAAGAGTGAGATCTGTGTGTCCATGATTGATCAGTGTAGTTTAAGTGATGTTGACCAGTTCCAGCTAGAGCTGATGGCAGCGACAAAAACATTCCCTGTTCATTTCATTCAGACGGACAGCCTCGGAAAATGTTAACTGGAGCGCAGCCTGCAAGACCAACAAAAGACAACATTTATGCTAGTTTACAGTATAATTACAGCCATTACAGACTACCTAGCTTCATGGTTATTAAATATGTGTATTCCCAAACTGGAGCTGGAGTAGGACATGGTTAGCCTAGCGGTGCATAACACGTTTTTTATTTTTTATTTTGTTTGAATTTGTAATTTTGGCGGAATTACATATTTTTGAACTTTTGGACAGAGCTAGCTGTTTCCCCCTGCTTCCAGCCTTAATGCTAATCTAGGCTAATCACGTTGGGCTTCCAAGCTTTGTACTAACCACACAGATATGAGACTGATGTTCATCTTCCCATCTCATTGTCTGCAAGAAATGTTCTTTATTTCCACAGTTCAAATGCAGTGAACCAACTGCATCACATCATCGTATCTGAGCTGAAAGACACTGAATAGATCATTTTTTAAATATAATACATTACTGTAACCCACTTTGGTGGCCCACAAAGCAGTATCATGCTGATGCTTCCAGTGTTGGAGCCACAGGGCTGGGCTCCATCCCATTCAGCTGGCAGATACTGTAAGTGACCTTTTCTGATGGGGACCAGAGCCTCTGCCGGGCTTATCAGTCTGGCATGAAGCCATCCTTTCAGCCAGCTCTGGCAGCTACAGGCTGGATGTGGGCCTACAGTCCTACACTGGCATACTGCATCACTGTCTCTGTGTGTACATTAAGTGGTAATAGAAACAAGTGAGTTACAAAGCCTGTGCTTCCTTCAGGCTTCTCATCCTATTAAGGACAAAGCTGCTAGACAGTATGGAGTGAATGCCAAGCCTCGTTTTCATTGATTCATACAGTTGCCAGCATGCAGCGCTTGTCCTCCTGTTCTGCTTTCTCATTAGCTCATCTTACTTTTAATTTGTCGCCCTTCCCTCTCCTTGCACATTATCTGCCACTTACGTGAACACAGAGGTCTTGCTCGATGTGATGGCCGTGACTTCTCCCTTTCCCCTCATCACAGTGAACACTGCATTGCATAATGTCTTTAGCAGAGTTACTTTATCGTTGCATGACAAGTTGCACGTATGAGCTGGTCTGAAAACTCCTCCCTGTTGCTGTGTTCAAGAAATCTCTGTTTCACAGTTTGGAGAAAAAATCTACTACTTTACTTTCACACCTGCACACACATAGCCAACCGCTGCATAAAACTGGGTAATTGTCTGCTTTGGAAAATTTACTTGCCTGAAATGCCACTGTCCAAAATCGTTGTTTTCCGGGGCTGTCAGAATAGCAGACAAACTCTTTGTTTGAGGCACACTGATGCTCTTAGGTATTAGTATGAGAGGTCCCTTCTCTTCATTAAAGTACCACCCAACCAAATAATGTATAAATCAAAGGCCTGTTGTCCTCTTTGAGTCTGAACTTTTACAGCGTCGAGGTTGGACTGGAGAAGTGCTGGGGGGTGTGGTCAAAATTACAACATACTGCTACTAACAGTGAAATTTCCTTTTCACTTTGAATGGATGTCAGTATCTGGTTTCTTTCCTACAGTTAAAAAAATCATCCAACGTGCAACATGTTAATTCCCCCTGCTTTCAGCCTTTATGCTAAGCTAAGCTAATCTAACAACATCTTGACTCATCTAGTTTTGTACTTAACACGCAGAGAGGCTGGAGTCGATCTTCTTGTCTCAGTCTTGGAAAGAAAGGGAATAAGGCTATTTCCCAACCATTCCTTTAATTTCTTAATTCAAATGTACACTGATGACTATTAACCATTAAAACCAATAAATTATATTTGAAAATAACCACATGTGAACCTGACCAATGCCCAAAGCTTGACAGAACGGCCAGTGTCCCAAAATGATCCGCTTGAAAGTACAACATATGACCATTACCCAAAATGACATATAAGAGTGTTGGCAAGTACCAGTCCAGTGACATGCGCACCGGACCTTGAGTATGTTAGGTAAGTTTCATGGCGTTTAACATGCGTTAACGTAACAGTTAACTTCAAACATGTCACCTTTTGACTTTCTTTATTTCATGACAGGACATTTGAGAGACAGGGAATATGGGCAAAAGAGAGGGGATGACATGCAACAAGGGGCTGCGGGTTGCACGGTCTAAGCTAACCAGCGCCCCACCTTTGACTTTCTTTCACACGGTACTTGAACCTCTTTCTCCTGATTCAAAGTCCTTAGTTTACTTGACTCATCCATCCACCCCACCACCTCCTTACATGGACTTTGTCGCTCTTTATTCTACATCAGCTGACTTCTTCTGCCACTAGAAGTCACGGCCTGACAAATAACATAGACTAAATATGGGTTGTAATAATCTGCTGCTTAATCGACCTAGGACCAGTTGCCTGTAGCATATGAGGCTAACCGTTTTAACCCCATATAAGGGTGTATGGTATGGCTCAGGAAGGACAATTATTGTTTTCGTTATTTGTTTTGTCTTACCTTCACGTGGGTGTTGAGAGAAAGGCAATTTCAATCCATTGTGTGCCCAATACATAGTAGAATTGACAATAAAGTTGACTTTGGCAAAATAAGTATGACACAGAAGAACATGAAGGAAAGTTTCCATCCTAAGGTACATGTCAGGAAACCAAAGCTGAACTTACATGAACTTAACATTGGAGGAGGCTCAACATGCTGCTGAAGACATTTTAAACGACAGAGGGAGCTTACTGTTTCTGCTTTATCCCTCACAGGGGATGAAGATAATTATAATTAATAGATAATTATAATATTATTATAATTATAATATTATAGATAATTAAAGTTAAAGTTAAATAAGAAGGTTTCTAACTGGCTACCTCCATGGAGAAGTTGACCGGTGGTATAACCTCCCAAACACTTGGTGTGTATTTCTTTAACTTAAGTTTGCTGCTACCTCACTTTTATGCTCCTCATCATCTTCATCGTCACCATGGCAACGGAGCACAACACAGCATCACGTGAGACTGATGACATAACTGTTTCTTTCCAGGCGCCGGATTGCTTTTTCCCAGAGTAGCACCATGTACCGCAGGCCTGGCCCTTGGCTCTGCTTTTGTGTTTCTTCCCCTCTGTGGTTGAGGTAGGCTGATTGGCCAGTGTCAGCGTTTCAGGAGCAGTCCTTCTGGGATACTCATCTTATGGGGCACTGTGTCCAAAAAAATGCTCTCACCTTATTTCAAAGTGGCAGGTTTTCCCATAGTGTTGTTTTCCGTTCTTGTCAATAATGCTCTCCTCTTTCCTTTCTTTCCTTTTCCTTCCGTTCAGTCCAGCTTTCCCCAGTCGGTTTCCATTGCATAATTGTAGCCACTCTCCGTTGGTCCCTCTCTTCTGGCCAACAGCTTAAAGGGCTCAGAAAGTCCCACCATTATTATGACTTCAACTTTCCACTTTATGTGTGTCCTAGCAGAGGGAACAAAGTATTATCATTGCAGTTAGCGTTCCTGTGTGATGTAACCTTCTTTAGTGTGCACTGAGCAGAAATCCTTGTGCAAGAGTGACAGAATATCTTGTGTATTAAAAGTGAGAGTTGATGATACATATGGTAGACCATAAACTGCTCTTTATCGTGTAGTTTTATAGCAAAAGTCATAATCAAATCACATTTTGAGAGAGTCTGACACTTTGATGAACTCTGGGCTAAGCAACAACAGCAACTTTGATGAACTTCCTGTTGATATTAATTCCACAACAGGCAGCCATTACTTACTGTTATTTTTCAGTATGTTTTTTTAAAGGAATCTAGATTTTGCTCTAAATTTTCCTTAAAGGCTAAACAATCTCTTAGGCCAGACCTGGAAAAATTTGCAGTCATTTTCCAATAGCGAGGAGCTGTCACAGAAAAGGAGCAACTTTTTAGACAAAACATACAATAGGTTTAACTGAATGTAAAAGCACTTTTCCGTGTCCCGTGAAAAATTATCTTTAGCCCTTTCACTATACAGTGGAAGCTGTGCACAATCTTTGTGATTCATCTGTAGAAAACTAACACCATAGTCTCACTAATAGAGAAACATAGTCGATCTGATTTATATTTATTGTGAAACAGTTTTGGTGCCGGCAGTGTATAGAGACAGATAACACAACGGCAATAATCAATACAGAAATTAATAAACAACAGGGTATACATGCAGACTGGGGAGGCAAAAGCACCATACGTGGTATCAATGGATGATTTTTAACATCCCACAAAGATTAACCTGGAGCCCACAGATAAAAACAGTCCCAAAAACATTTGAGTTATGTTCAAACTTTATTGGGTGACATTAGTGGCTGATTCTCATCAACAATGTCACTAACAGCTGCTTCTACAGACAAAAAAAAAACTAAACCAAGGTTTTTATGGAGCTTTTATCCACCTCCCTCAGTCCTCCTCCCTCACTTGATTACCATCACTACTTCACACTAAGGAGAAAAATTATATTAAACCTCAGTGCGAGTGTGTGTGTGAAGAAGGCCTTTTCTGATTGGCTTGAATCAAGTGACGTAAACTTTCAGGAATAAGGAAGTCCCCGTTACTCGCACAGTACCGCGAAATTTCGAAGCTGTTGTGTAAGTAACTTCATGAAATGGCTGAAAATAATTCAAAGTCTAAACTTAAACGAAAGAAATCCTCTGTCGAAGATTTCCAGCCGGAACTATATTCCAGGGGAGCCCTAAAGAAGAGGCATACGACGTTGTTTTCCAGTCGCATTGACGTTACAGCAGAGTCTGGGAGGTGTGTGTTCTGCTTAACTTTCCGTGTCAGTTTTCACCCAAAACCCACCAACAATATTCAAACCTGGCCTAAGCTTATCTTTGTTTTTTTAATACACTGGCCCCCGTTTTATCTCGGGACTTTAATAAAGCCTATACCTAGTGAGAAAACGAACCGTCAGACGAGAGAACCAGCCTCCGCTAAAATATTTAGCAGTTTAACGTTTAAGCGCATGATTGAGAAAGCATAACTGAAGACATTTTACGAACAAGTGGGTGCCACTGGATAATTCCGCATGTCGGCGATCTAACAATACACATCTGTTGATCTGTGGATAGAAAGCTCAACTTTTAGAATTGCCCTATAGTTGCTTGGTTATTTTTAATATTATTATTATTATTATTTAGGAAGATAACAGACTTGGCATTTATAAAAGCAGGTATGTGGAATCGTTGCATGCCGAATGAAGGTATATCATAATGTTTTATAAAAGTGTGCATATTTCCCCATTAAATCCAAAATAATGATAAATGTCAGTTTCTGGAAAGGGGTTTGGTGTTGCTCTTTCCACAGGAGGATAGGGGTTAGTGGGTGTGTGTGTGTGTGTGTGGGGGGGGGGGGGGGGGATTGTGTTAACAGGATACAGCAGAAGGTAACAAGAAAAACATTGGGAGGAAATCAAATGAGGGCTGAAAAACAGCAAAAAGGAATAAACAAATAAATGAATATACCAATGTATTGATTGTAAACAAATTACATTTTCAGTATTCAAAATGGAAACCAATACATTTCAGATGTTTTTGTTATATAAAGACCAAAATGTCAGAGCTCCCTGGAGAGTTTTACACTCAGTGGCTATGGAAGTGTAGAGGAGGAAACAAAAAAAGATGTAGCCAGGTGGAGAAAATACTCACTCCTCTCTGACACGGTGCAGCCAACAAACAGACTATTACAGGCAGGATTTATTGCACGGCTGTTGCATTTGATTGCACAGGTGCACCTAATAAAATCATAACTTACTATAAGAATACATCCAAGCTTTGAAAAAAAATCCTTTGAAAGTTTTTTAGGAGAATTTTCTCCCAGATGGATCAACCAAACGGGAGCACATTGGTGGATGTCACACAAAGTAAAACCACAGCAGAGCAGTCAGATGTGGAGCAGCCTTGTTGTTACACAAAATATTCCAAACATTTGAATCAAGTCACCTTCTTGTTTTTAAAAATGCAAGTAAATTTAAGCTACTTTACTACTTTTAAGACACACAGGGTTGGATCTATATTTTTCTCTCTGCTGCTTTGTTATTTACACAATCAGAAACTGTGCACCAGATCAAAGAGTGGTTTCATTAATAATTTGATTGACAGATTAAAAATGCATACAAAATCATTTTTTTAAATTGGGGAAAAAGCAAAACTAAAAACATCACAAGCAACAGGCGCTGTGTGATATCTGGTTTACAGGTCAGCGTCTCCTGCAGCAGCGTGGTGGAACAGAGAGCAGCTGCCTGCTGTGGAGGGTCTGTGGGCGTTGTCACTGAAGTCTGCTCTGCCGTACCTGGAGAACCAGCACTGGGACCTAGTTCCTGATCTTCCCCATCCACGTGAAGCGGTATGTTACCGCATGTCATTACACAGTTCCTATAGTAAAAATGATGAAACTAACGACAAGACTCGCACTAACACACATAAGTCCCAAATGTTCAAAGTTCAGATGTGTAAAATGTTCTTGGACTGGTGATAGTGACGTGTGTCTACGTGCTCAGGCTGAGAAGTTCTTGAAGAAGTGACTGATTTCTGTCTAATTCAGTTGTTGTGCATCACATAGAAAATGTAAAAACACAAAAATAGTTTCTAATCCGTACTCCATGTTCTTATACTAAAGTCTCAAAGCATTTGAATGCTGTAGGCAGAAGCAGGGCTTTATCTTAGAGACGGGATTTTAGTCCTAATTTCCCCAATTCAAAACTCCCTTCATGCTTACCTAGGCCTGTCACGATAACTACTTTTGTTTGACGATTATTGTCCCAGATGTAATTGCAATAAAAGATATCATCGTCATTTTATCCCACTGATATAATGATAAAACTTTTTATTCAGAATAATCTTCAGACAGTGGATTTGGAAATTGTGAAAAAAAATATTAAAGGTTCAGTGTGTAATATTTCTGAGGATCTATTGACAGAAATGCAGTATAAGATCCATAACTGTGTTTTCAGTGGTGTGTAAAGACCTACCATACTAAACCGTTATGCTTTTATTACCTCAGAATGAGACATTTCTATCTACATAACCACGGGTCCCCCCTTAATGCTGTCCACATACAACGCAAATTTAATCCTTGCAGCGCTTTCCTCACGCAGGTTTTATCGCTGGACAACATGATAAGCGAATAAACACAACTTGCGAATCCGACAGCTGTATGAACCCAAATGATTTGTTAGCCCTAATGCTGCATTCAGACCAAACGCAAATTTTCGCCCTCGTGACGCTTTCCTCGCGTGAGTACATTCGCTGCAAGTGTTCGCACACAAGGCGATTTTAACGTGATAACGTTAATAAACACAACTTGCCTTTACTACAGCTGTATGAACCCAAAGTAAACATTTTGCTGTGATTAAATAGCAATAAACGGATCAAACTGATGCCGAAATAACTACAATATGATGCAGTTTTGTTAAACATATGAATTCATGCTTTGTCAGGTCTGTCAGCAAGACAGCAGGACAACAACTTCTAAAATGTTTGTTTTCTGAATGAAGTTTGGATCGATCAGGGCTATGCTAACTTGGTCAGAGTAAAGTACAACGATAGCTGGACTAAAGTTCCATACACATGTTTTCTTAACTCACCAGGTAGTTCAACCTCCTCGCTTTCTTTTCTCCCAGCAATGTCCAGTTTTGTCCGGTTTTTATATAAATATGAAGTAGTGCCAAACGATGCTAACAACACTGGAACCGGATGTGCACGGAATCTAGCTGCTGAGAAGAAGCAAGAGAAATAACGTTTTAATCCTAAAAACTAAAGTAAAAAGCTAATTTAATAAAAGCAGTTTACTCCTCCCTCCTCCCTCGAGCAAACGGCGTAGTTGCGAGCAAAGTCCAGTCCGACCACGGGTGTTTATTTGTCCGAAAGCTGGAGCGCTGCTCCTTGCTCCTCTCCCCCAAGTTTAGCAGCTCTCAGCCGGCCAGCAGATTTTCGATCGCCCGCTCTGCCTGGCCCTCTCCACACAACGCTCTGAAGCTGTCGGTGACTTACGGACAATCTCAACGTTGATAGTCTATCGCGACTCAGTGTCATGCGAATTCCTTCGCGTTGCCAGCACTGTCCCCTGCACTTCACGCCGCCCGACAGGAAATCGCGGCTCTACGCATCTTTGCATTGACTTTGTATGTAAACTCACCGCCCCGAACGCTCGCTTCGCTTTTGGTCTGAAAGCACCATAAAAACACATGCTTTGTCATGTCTGTCAGCAAGTCAGCTGGATAACAACTTTTTAAATGTTTGTTTTCTGAATGTTTTCTGAATTTCTTTCTTTTCTCCAAGGGATCCCAGCAGCGAAGCTGTTGAAGCCCTATTGTTTTTGTTCTCATTATTCTTTCTTTCTTTCTTCTTTTTCTCCGCTAAAAGTGTTTGGGCAGCAAAAGCTGCTGGACGAAAAATCACCAAAATTGGCAGGTGGGCTGCAAATTCCACCCACTACTCAGGCAAAAAAATGTCACTCAAAGACCTCATGGTGGCGCTATAACAACCAACTTAACGTTTTTGCAATTATCTCAAACGGCTTGGTTTAGAGTTAAACTTCTTTCATCATTTCAATCTCTGGATTCATCTTCATCTTTGCTCCAGTGGTCTTCTGCTCTAATAATCACTTTTCTCTAAAACCTATTCTTGTGAACTCGTCCCAAATCACAGGAATTTGCATCTTTGCATTGACTTTGTATGTAATGAAGCCGCCCAAAACATCAACAACTTTCAGTGTGAATGGAAAATGATGCAAACCTACACACGAAACAACTGTTTGTTATTATAATGACGAAGAATCTGGGTGAGAGAATGGATTAGCACATGCAGGTAGTGGGGATTGTCTGAGCTACAGAGAGAGCTGGAGGTAAGTAAAAAGTGTTTTGCTGTGAAAAAGCAGCTGCCTGCTCTCATTGGCTGGATGTGGATGTTGAGTCGGCCGACTCCTTCCAAATATTTGGCATGTTAAGGCTCGTGCAGACTACACGACTTTCAGCGTTGGCCAATGGTTCACACTACATAACTTGCCGTCGTGTGGCGACAGTCTTGAAGTCGTTGTGGCGTTCACACTACGTGAGCTGACAGTGGCTGTGTCACCCGACGCTGGTCTCCAAACCACGTTTTCTCAAGAAAACACACGTGAAATGTAAAATGGGAAATGACGCGAACCTACAGACAAAACAGCTGTTGTTGGTTATTATAAAGATAGCAATTATAAAGACAAAGAATCTGGGTGAAAGGATGGATTAGCACACGCAGGTAGCAGGGATCGTCTGAGCTACAGAGAGAGCTGGAGGGGAGTAAAAAGTGTTTTGCAGTGAAAAAGTAGCTGCCTGCTCTGCCAGCTGCCTGCTCTCATTGGCTGGATGTGGATGTCGCCCTCACTAAAAGACCATGACCGTCCCTCCACAGCTGAGAGGAGGCTGCTCCATCAGCAGGAGCCTCGAGTGGTGGGGGAGAAGAGGGGAGGAAAAGGAGGAGAGGCTGGTCCAGTCAACAGAGAGCTCCTCACAGGCGGCCGACTCAGCCACATATTTGGCATGTTAGATATCTGGCTGACGTCAGCGATGTGTCAGAAATGTGTTGGGGAGCCATTTTGATGCGTCGTTGAGTAGTTCACACATAACGACTGGCAGCTGCAGATCGATCGCTGATTTACCCCTGATCACCCCTGACGGTCGCCGAGCTCACTGACCGGCAAACTGGGCTTAAAATCATGTAGTGTGAACTAGGCTTTACATGGATGTCACCATGTTGCATCGTCATGTTTCTACAGTATCTGAAAATGGACAAACAGCACTACAGAGCACGTTTCGACACTATGTTCTTCTTCTTCTTCTCATAGATTTCTGGCAGTGTAGACACTCATCACTACGTTGACTATGTACCTACGAAGAAGAAGAAGAACTAATATACAGCAGGGGTTGGCAGATAAGTTTTGCATTGGATTTTTTATCCATTATTAGATAGTGGGTGAGAATATAAGACATTACATTTTTGGTTGGAAATTCAAGTATCCAGTAGCATACGAAACATACATACATTAAACATACAGTGGGTACGGAAAGTATTCAGACCCCTTTAAATTTTTCACTCTTTGTTTCATTGCAGCCATTTTCCAAAAATCAAAAAAGTTCATTTTATTTCTCAGTAATGTACACTCAGCACCCCATCTTGACAGAAAAAAACAGAAATGTAGAAATTTTTGCTAATTTATTAAAAAAGAAAAACTGAAATATCACATGGTCATCAGTATTCAGACCCTTTGCCGTGACACTCATATTTAACTCAGGTGCTGTCTATTTCTTCTGATCATCCTTGAGATGGTTCTACACCTTCATTTGAGTCCAGCTGTGTTTGATTATACTGATTGGACTTGATTAGGAAAGCCACACACCTGTCTATATAAGACCTTACAGCTCACAGTGCATGTCAGAGCAAATGAGAATCATGAGGTCAAAGGAACTGCCTGAAGAGCTCAGAGACAGAATTGTGGCAAGGCACAGATCTGGCCAAGGTTACAAAAAAATTTCTGCTGCACTTAAGGTTCCTAAGAGCACAGTGGCCTCCATAATCCTCAAATGGAAGACGTTTGGGACGACCAGAACCCTTCCTAGAGCTGGCCGTCCGGCCAAACTGAGCTATCAGGGGAGAAGAGCCTTGGTGAGAGAGGTAAAGAAGAACCCAAAGGTCACTGTGGCTGAGCTCCAGAGATGCAGTCGGGAGATGGGAGAAAGTTGTAGTAAGTCAACCATCACTGCAGCAATCCACCAGTCGGGGCTTTATGGCAGAGTGGCCCGACGGAAGCCTCTCCTCAGTGCAAGACACATGAAAGCCCGCATGGAGTTTGCTAAAAAACACCTGAAGGACTCCAAGATGATGAGACCAAGATAGAACTTTTTGGCCTTAATTCTAAGCGGTATGTGTGGAGAAAACCAGGCACTGCTCATCACCTGTCCAATACAGTCTCAACAGTGAAGCATGGTGGTGGCAGCATCATGCTGTGGGGGTGTTTTTCAGCTGCAGGGACAGGACGACTGGTTGCAATCGAGGATGAATGCGGCCAAGTACAGGGATATCCTGGACGAAAACCTTTTCCAGAGTGCTCTGGACCTCAGACTGGGCCGAAGGTTTACCTTCCAACAAGACAATGACCCTAAGCACACCGCTAAAATAACGAAGGAGTGGCTTCACAACAACTCCGTGGCTGTTCTTGAATGGCCCAGCCAGAGCCCTGACTTAAACCCAATTGAGCATCTCTGGAAAGACCTGAAAATGGCTGTCCACCAACGTTTACCATCCAACCTGACAGAAGTGGAGAGGATCTGCAAGGAGGAATGGCAGAGGATACCCAAATCCAGATGTGAAAAACTTGTTGCATCTTTCCCAAAACGACTCATGGCTGTATTAGATCAAAAGGGTGCTTCTACTAAATACTGAGCAAAGGGTCTGAATACTTATGACCATGTGATATTTCAGTTTTTCTTTTTTAATAAATTTGCAAAAATTTCTACATTTCTGTTTTTTTCTGTCAAGATGGGGTGCTGAGTGTACATTACTGAGAAATAAAATGAACTTGATTTTTGGAAAATGGCTGCAATGAAACAAAGAGTGAAAAATCTAAAGGGGTCTGAATACTTTCCGTACCCACTGTACATTTAACATATTTTAAAATCAAATTAAAAAAATTGAAATAAACTTATAACACAGTAGCCACAGTAAACAGTGCAAAAACAGTAAACAGTGCGAATGGAGGTAGAAATCGTCCTGTTGTCTGTTGTCCTCCCTGCCTTGACTAGGAGCTGTTGTACAGTGTAATGGCCAGGGGGACAAAGGAGTTTTTAAAGGGATACTATGCGATTCTGCAGAAAGTTTGTTGATAAACAAACTCATGAACGTGCATTGCCATGGTAACCATTCCTACTCTGCTGAAATATAGCAGAATCCGCAGCGTCTGCTGCACGAGAGCATGTTAGCCTCAATAAGAGGGCATGTTTTAGCAGCACTGTAGAAGGTGTGACAACAAGCCTGACAATATTTAAATATGTATTGAAGCAAAATACTTTTCTAAGCCTAAATCTAAGATACGGAGTCTAGTTTATTTATCGGTAGGAAAATCGAGAGGAACTTAAATAGTTAATTAGTGAACAAACATCAAACAAACAATATGTGTAAGTGAGTAATGTGTAACAGTGACAGTGTTACACACAGTAACGTATGGTTTGGCATAGAACATGTAGTTGTACTGTCGCTTTTAGGTGCCACTGTATTTAAACAAAGTCGACACACCGGCTTGTTAACGTTAACTGGCTCGCCTCTGAAACTCCCAACACAGACCATGAGCCAGCAGAACCAGAAATGACAGTGAGGCGTGTCTCTGCATAGTTTTTTTCCTGTTTGGCTAAGTGTTATGATGGTGGGGAAAATCCTGCTGTTTATTCGGGTGATGTCTAAGATGTTGGAGACATTCTCATGTAAACAAACACACATGTAAACATAACAGGAAATACGAGGTTAGCAAAAATGATCAAGGTCATGTTCACATATTGTATGAGAAGTCTATATGAGAGGCCTATGCTGCTCTCAGTTCCTCTTCGCTAACAGTGTTTATTAACCAGTTGCTTCCATGGATCATTACCGTCAGTATCTCAGCCCTTCCTGCACAGATGTTTCAGGTTGAAAGTCCTCCAGTGGCTGAAAAATCGTAAACCATCCCGTTTGCGGTAGGCTTTGAATATTATAATATGAAAAACCTGCAGGAAGTGTTGCATTTCATTGACTTCAGCTTTACAGCAAATGAAAATAACATCAAAGTGGAACAGATTGGAAATATGTAGTGATGGTGAATATGACGTGACTCAAAATTAACTTACAGTAGAGCTAATTGTTTTTTTTGACCTGGTCTTTATGTGTTGGTACTGACCTCTAAAAATGATTGGAATATAAAGTCTGAAAGGGCCATATTTGTCTCATTAAAGGATAACCCATTAGGATACCATGGAAATCAGCTAATCTTCCTAATAGTCAATACCTGACATACTTTACAGAACACATTACATGATATTACATTAATATATGTTTAAAAAATGCATATATATACAATTAAAAGCTAGTCATCACTGAACACCAATGTTTAGATAATATTTAAAAGAAGGAGAATTCATATGAAGCGGAACATGAACAGTGAGAAACTGGCACATAGTTCTACCTCCTATTGTTCAGTCTGCCATCTGCTTATAATAACTGCTTTATCACGAGTCAGCAAAGCAGATTTGATTTTAAAAAGGTGTGTTCACTGTGATTGATTGTCTAATCTGCAGCAGTTTCTGCATGACGTAAGTTTACATACTTTGTATTTAAAGTGCTAATCTTTATAAAACCTCTGGCGTGGTAAAAATGAAAGCCTGATGATAGATTTAAATTGTTTCCACTCGTGCATACAAACCAGGACAAGTTGTGCAACGTGTCTCTGAGACAGTGACCTTTAATGAAATCCCCTCTGTTATTTTTTTTATAAATATAGTGCAACTTTATAGTCCAACTCATCTGTCTCAAGTTGGTAAAAACGAACCTCCCTCTCCTGGTTGCTAAAAGGTCTTAAATTCAGACAGAGTCTGTTTTTCTTTCCATGTCACTTCAGAGACCTGCAGCACTAACGCTTGATGTACAGTGGTGGTGTGACTTCAGTGAAGAGGTTACTGCCTTCCCTGAACCCTTTCCACCTTCTCCGAGGACTTCATCGAGTCCAGATCCTTTCAGGCTCAGCTACTCCCAGCAGGACCTCTCAACACAGACCAGACCTGAACCACAGACGGCTGACAGACAGCTGTCCTCTCACAGCAGGCAGAGTCACGATGGCAAGACGGCATCCCTTCAAGCCCTCACTAAAAGACCACGACCGTCCCTCCACAGCCGAGAGGAGGCTGCTCCATCAGCAGGAGCCTCGAGTGGTGGGGGAGAAGAGGGGAGGAAAGGAGGAGAGGCTGGTCCAGTCAACAGAGAGCTCCTCACAGACCAGGTGAGGGTGTATGACAGCCGGGTTTCTCAGCTGGAGGAGGCTGAAAATAAAGAGGAGGTGCAGAATAGTGTCAGAGCAGGAGGAGGAGAAGGAGGAGGGCAGCGGCTGCAGAGCTGTCCCATGTGCCTGCTGGAGTTCCCTGTCGGGTAAGAGGTGCAACACACTTTCATTCTTGCACATAAACATACACTGTCTTGTCTCAACGCTACCAATCAGGACTTGGTCTCGGACAGGGACGGACCCTCCTGGTAGAGAAAGAACTACTAATACACTACTACTACTGATCTGAAATAAGTGATTTTATTTAAAAGTAAGTAAAGTATGCTCTCACAGAAGAGAAAAGAAAAAGCTGTTTTATAAAATTTTTAAGGAAAAAACTAAGGAAAGTCAAAACATTTTAAAACTTTTTTAAACACTATATTAGCTTACTTACATCACTTAAGTCCATGTTTAGAGAAATCACTGAGTAAGAATGTGACATCTTTATGCTTTAAACATTTGTAATTTTAAGATTAAAAAGATCTATTGTATCAATAATTTAAGATCAGCTTAATAATATTGAACTAGCGATGGGCAAAGCGTTTTTTTTTCAGTGCACTGAATCATTAGAATCAGTTCATTAAAAAGATTCCTTCACTGACTCGTTCAGTGCTTGACCGGAGCTCCATCCTGAAACACATCCCGATGAGTACAGATGTAGCAATTGAGCTCTATGTAGCTCTCACTGTGTCACAGCTGGGTGTCAGGCGAGCAGCACAACAAAGCAACTGCTCCATACACTCTATAAGCAAACACTAAAGCTACTAAATACACATCTGATTCTTTAAATCCTCATAGCTGTCCTCTTAGTAATGTGTGTGTGTGTGCCCAGTAACAGTAAATGTTAGCTTATGCATATGATAGAATAACACCTATTTAAAGTCATGTTGGGATTGTACCTAAACACACTGTTTTGAAGCAGGACCTTCAATATTTGGATCAAGTAGCTTGTTAAAAATAAGGCGAGTGTGATTTAGTAGCTACAGGTGTTATTTAAGTGTTGAAGACGTTTAACTGACATTTAAGTAAATATAGGATTTGGATCAAAGTCTGACTCTGCTTTGAGCCAGAAAACCTTCTTGGGACATCCCTGTTCAAAACTCATCCAGAAGGTCAGAAGGTGGGTTTGGTGCTGTGTCGTGGTGTGGACGAGGATCAGCAGCCCAGCTCCATCTGTGTGAACAGTCCTGTCTTTGTGCTGCTGTTGGTCCGGTCCTGCTCTGACCCGGTGGCTCTGTGTGCGTTGGCCCCAGACTGCATGACCGGGCTGTGCTCACTCTGCAGGTCTCCGGCAGAAACAATGATTACCTCTGTGTGAGCGGACACAGAGGAGGGCTGGCTGTCCTCCACTCATATTCCCTTGCTCTTGTGCACACTCGTCGTAAACAACTTTAAATAATCGTGCTCAGAATTATACAAATTGATTCAGTGAAGGTTCAGAGGGACATGACAGTGTTTCCAATCAGTCCATATCATAGCATGCTAATATGTTAAACTGTACCTGCTGAACATCAACATGTTTACAATCTCATTGTGACTATTTAAATCTTTTTCATTTCTAAAGCCTGATGAATTGGATTCCCGTGTCTGTTTGACAGTGAGTTTCTAAGTACATGAGTTTTGACAACAGGCCAACACAGAATGTATGTGTCGGTGTGTGAAAGTGTGTGTTCACACTGTGTGTGTTCACCGTCAGTACCATCAGTGCATCTCCTTGTTCCTGTCTCTCCAGGTTCACCCAGATGGACTGTGACGGCCACCTGGCCCAGTGTCTGTCGGAGGTGAATGTGGACGTGACCTGGTGAGCCGACAGGACGCTGGCTGCTCTCCAGGATCTATGGGCAGCCCAGATGCCCCACACACTCCAGTATCCTATCGCATGGAGAAGGACGCACCCAGAGAGCAGCTCGTATGGAGAACACTCACAGGATGTATGCTGAGAAAGGGACTCCTGGACACTGCGTTATACGTCAAGGTGAGAAAGCAGGGTGTTCACCTCTTTTGGAGAAGAAGCATGCACATTGGAAAGATCATTCCTGCCATGGAAGAGGGTTAGTTTTGAGATTTTACACCAGGGGGATTTTGAAAGCTCTGGTTGCAATAACTCAAAGACTCCCCTCAGAGGTGCCTGATCCTGAATTTGGGTCTCTGCGAGCCTGTCCTCTTGGCCTCCGATGCCTTTGATTCCAGCTAGTCAAGAAGATCTCCAAACTAAACTGGCAATCCGACCTGCCTCCGAGAGACCAAAGTGGAGCCGAGCCACCTCCTCCTCACAAAGCCGACCTGTCGATGGAGAGGTTTTCTCTTAGACTGGTCGGATGTGAATTGCCCGGCAGTCATGATAACGTGATCACATTGTTTTATTAAATTCTCTTGTTGGAATGAATGAGTTCAAGCTAAAATGAATGTTTTGAATGTACTAAGGCTGTAAGTTAAGGAAGGAAATGGGCTCCCCTAGAGGGGCTGAAATGTTGTCTTGAATAAGTCAAGCGGATGAAAAGCTATTTATCCAACACCACACAGCCTGTGTTTTTAATGGTGCTTTCTTCTCCCCTAAATGCTTACAGTGCGGCGAGCCCCATGGGAGCTGCTTATCAGTATTTACCAATGACATGAGTTATGTGTTGGATAAGTGCAGTGTTGCTCTATTTGCAGATGACATGCCACTAATAAAGTCAATCAGCTGCATCACTCAAAGGCTCAGATATTAAACGGGTTCGAGAGGCCAAATATTTTGAAAATATTGTTAAGAAAATGTATGGAGAAAGATTGGCACTATTGATGACGGCTCAGCTGTCTGGTTGGTGCAGAGATCTGTCTAAGCTCAGAACAAAGCTGCAAGGCTCGGCTGCCCTGCCCGCTGGGTACAGAGGGAGTGCACGTCTCCAGTGGCTCGTGGTTAACACACAATCTATTGAGTTTATTTAGACATAACAACCAAATTGCCTGTATTCACAAATGAATTACCTGCCCCCAGTACTGTGACCTATATAGTAACGCTTCTGGGGGTTATCTAGTTAAAGAAAACCCCAGAACATGTGCAGATCTGTAACGTGTAGAGCCGTCAGTGTGGAACGAGCACCCAGTAAGTCACATTTTAAAAGACGTTAACAATAAACGACCTGAAACACTAATATGGAATTAAACATGTTCTTAATTCTTATCTTATATCTTGTATTTTGTTGTGTGCGAAACCCAGGAAGAGTAGCTGCTACCGTAATGGCAGCTAATGGGAATTCGAATATAAAAGAAATCACCCTTAAAATCACAAATTGTGTATTTTTGAAACCTTACACAGAGCCAGGCTAGCTGTTCCTCTTTGCTTCAAGTGCGTTTGCTAAGCCAGGCTAACCATGTCCTGCTTCCAGTTCTGTACTGAATGAGATTGATTGATCCCTCTTCTATTAAATGACTTAGGGGTATTAAGAATCAGTTGAACAAAACTTCATCTTTATTTTTTCTATGTGTTCTGTGTGTTGGTTCCATCTCAGATCAGGCCTGGCTCGTTGCAGTTTTCAACATGCAAAAATATTCAAGTTATTGTGCAATCTGGAAAAAAAATATTCATACAGATCATGAACAGTTCCTATTTACTCTAAAAATACATAAAAAATTATATTTCTGTCTTTGTCGTACTGACTTTTTCCAAATGTGCTTGGCAAGAAACGGTCAAGGGACGGTAAATAAATCTGCACACTGGCCTAAACACGTATATACAAAATTTTTTAATAATAGTTTCTAATGGTTTGTGTTAATTTTCTCTATATCAAATAAACACAGAAAATGGTGCTGGATAAGGAATATTGGTAAATTGCCTCTTCCAGTCTCCCAGTATGAGCAGATTAAGTGGTGATCAGAGGATGTTCTGGCGTTTGAGGCCGACTTCCAGGCAACACACACACACACACACAAAACTGTAGCATCTGCAAAGATTTTTCTGCTGCCATCTGCAAAAAAGGAAAGACTCAGTTCACGGAAAACCAGTATCATTTTTAATAATTACATATATTTACAAATATGCAGTGAAGCAAAATTAAGCATATCCAACTGGCATTATGTTAGAAAAAAAATCATGGACTAATTTAAATCATTTTTAGATGTCTGAATGGCCCTCGCTGCTCTGTAATGTGGTTTCAAGAACTCCCAGTCAATCCATTGGTCCCTCAAGAAAAGAAGAATGCCACTAACGTATCACCTGGTGTGCAAATAGATCAACAAAACACGGCTCTGATCAACTCAGATGGAGTTTTGGGGGTCGGATGAGGAAGCTTGTCGAATGTGGAAGTGATTTCCAGCTTTTTGAAGTGTGTGTGTGCGGTGACTGTGGATCTGCTTCATTATCGCTCCTCTCCCAATCTGTTTCTTCTGTCCCTTTAAAGGCCCTGCAGCTAATTGAGACCCTTTGACTCGGGATCAGCTAATTAATCCTATTATGTGGTTATCAAATTAGCACGGGTCAGATTTCATCAAATCCATCTCAGCCAACCGAGAGCGCTTCTTCTCCCGGGGATCAACACAAAGCTCATTTCAGAGTCCGTGGCATTAATCCATGCTCCTAGTTGATATTCACAGTTGTGCATGTGTTTGATTTTATCCCGGCCTTTTAACAGCTCAAGGCTCCTAAATTTGGTTCCAAATAAGTCGCTTGCTGTGTATAAAGGTGGCAGTATACGAAGTTAAACTTGCATGAACTAGAAACAGCTTAAAGCTTCCTGTATACAAATAAACTCATGGCTTCTTGTTTGGCTTCTTGCTGGTTTTGTACATACTCTGCACCAGCTGGGGAAGTGAAAATCATGATTTAGAAACCCCTTTGATGGATCAGAACCAAAGAGAAATGAGCTGATGTTGGAGAGCTGACCATGTGTTGGGCTGGCTTTACACTGGGCTCCTGCTGTCAGCTGCAGGTTACAGCTCTCAATCAGGACTGGGTGATAACAGAGTTCAATATACTAATATATTGTATTAGTGGGGGGTGGTGATGGCGCAATGGATAAGACACATGCCTTTGGTGTGAGAGACCCGGATTCAATCCCTCACTGTGACCCATCCACCAATGTGTCCCTGAGGAAGACATTAACTCCTAGTTGCTCCAGAGGCGTGCGACCTCCGATATATATAGCAATTGTAAGTCGCTTTGGATAAAAGCGTCAGCTAAAATTAATAAATGTAAATGTACTAATATGATACTCAGAACTGCTCAGTGCATTATTGTTAAATAAAGCTTTGTAAAAGAATCTAAATAAAATATAGCCTGAAGTTGGAAACACTTCCCAATTTGGATCAATTTAATGAAGCAATTAAAGCCAATTTTTGATATGACAGTTTTCAACAGCCAATATTACAGATACATTTTGGGCAGTACTCGAAATGTACTGAGCTTCATAATACAGCCCTCGTCCTGATACTATGGGCAGTTCTGTTTATACTGCATTGGGTGTCTGCATACACAGATGTGTTCAGAAGTTTGGACTGTACCCGGACAGGTGGGAAATTAACACCATGGATGCGGAGAGTACAATAAAGTGTGGAAATTGTTGTTAAATCCAGGCCACCTACTGTCCGTAAAGTTAAGTAATTTAGTCAAATGCATCACGTACAGAACGGGATGAGGACATGTTTGACGTGAAACTGAAATTAAACTGCGTCTCTGCTCTGTGATTAACAGGTCCTACGCTTTCAAATATTTGATATCTTTTGCTTTCTTGATAAAAGGTCTTTATTATTCAGCAGCACTGCTAACAGGATGCTGCCTGTACACTGTGGTGCAGACTAGTGTCTCTGTACACCGGCCCGCCCTCTCAGAGGCTAAAAGAAGACCTTTTATTCCTCTTAGACATAAAACAATATTTAAAATACATTTGAATTTCATTTAAACATGATTTTTGATTATTTGTCATTTTATTTGGTCTTTTTTTTAACTAAAGAGAAATCTAACATCTGAAGTTGCACTGAGCTGTGGTTGCACCATGTAAAGCCAGCCTTAGCGTGGAGACGGAAACACACAATGAGCCCAAAATGGAGACGTTTCCACAAGACAGCACAACCAACCTGTCGCATGATATTTTCGACCGGCTGCATATGGTCACGCAGTGGCAGCTGGTGTGGAAGAATCTGAGCTCAGCCAGCAGGCCTGTACACACTGTGGAGGCCACAGCCAATGAGCTGCTTTGTTTTTCAGCTGACATCCTGATATAATGTGTTTCTAAAGCTGCCAGACTTTTAGTATACCATGGCCTTTACACACCTTTCTAAATACAGGACTGTATGAATGCTGTCTGCTGCACAACACCTACCTGTGACATTTCTGAATGATAATTTGGCTTTGGGAAAACTCGTATTGCAGGACGCCATCTATACATCATGCTTTAATGCTGACGCTCCGTCTCTTCCTGACACCACATCTGAGGTTGGCTTAGATGCTACTCTTGTGAATATATAGGCCGGTCATAAATAATTTGCTCTGTATGGATTATTTGAATGGATTCATTAAAAATAAAAAGATCCAGTCAGGACTGAAGCAGGCTACTGTGCTCCGAAAATACCGAGTCCCCTACAGATTGGATTTGACCAACCCCGATAGAGTCTAGCCTTCAGGTGATCTGTACCTACTGAAGCCATGATGGGTGAAGACATGTTCAATAAGAGATAAGTGCAATCAGAGACATGGTAATTAATACGATCTTTGAGGCACTTATTAAATAAAAAGTCGTCTCCCAGTTAACCCCCCTCCCACCCCAACCAAAAAAAGAAAAGTTTGTGGTTACGGATGAAAATGTGCCACTTGCATCAATAAAAAGGCATCGTCAATTTTGGATTCACTACCTACATTATAATACACAATAATAACTTATTTTTTCCTTTGTCATTGTACATTCTTGTTTTGTGTGAGGCATCGCCCCCCCTCCCTACAAGATAGAGAAAAAAAAATAATTAATAAAACAACAAAAGTGCACGTAAAATTTCAAGTCCTTCAGCAGAACTGTCATATTGATCCAGGGACATGAGACGGACATGAGAAGTGTGTTCATGACGGCAGGCACAGAATGAAACAGCTCTCTGTTCAAATTACAAAGCCAGTCGTGCTTCGACACGAGGATGGACAGTCGAAGGAGGGAAGGAATGAAGCTGACGGAGAAAAAGAAAAGAAAGGGGAAGACAACGTAACGACAGGGAATGTTCTTGAAGTCCAGTATCTTTGTTTTCCTTGTAGATGACAAGAAGAGTTCAGTACCCGACACAACAATCTGAATCGTCCAGGAAGGAAACTCTCCCATTTTCCTGTTTGCTTTGCCTTGTTGACAGGTCCAGAGGGGGAGTTCGTCCTCCCTGTTGTCCTTTACTCTTCCTCCTCCTCCTCGCCTTTCAGAGTTGGCTTGCGAGTGGTTTTTTGGCTGAGACGGCAGCTTGGACAAACAGTAGGTGGGCGAAGGAGGAAGCTGGTCTCTCCTTCATACAGACTCGTCTGTGGATAGCAGCAGGGGGTTGATGTATTCAAATCCCTCAAACTCGGACTGGTCTATTCTCTTGATGACGTCCCTGAGGAAGAGGGAGACAGAAAGAGGAATTAGAGCCGTCGTTTTATCACGAACCCAGAACACAATGGCAAACCTGGATCAAGTCCTGAACAAAGGCAGGGACAGATTTGTTTCACAGCTCTGACAGAGAAAGCCCCCCTACTATTTTAAAGTGTCATAGAGGCACATGTTAGACGTATGCCTATGAAACCCAAAGTTACTGTAACATATAGCTTTTAAAAATACACGTCCTAAAAACTGTACCTGCTGCTACTGTTTTAAAAAGTCTACACCTGTGCGCGAGCTGTAAAACCACCTGATGGGTTCGTGTTTCTTGTTTGTTGCTCTCAGAATAAATCCTTAAAAGCCTGTAAAATGGCCTCTGAGTACATGATGTCAGACAGACAGAAAGAACATGGTGCAGACTAATAAGTGGAGGAACTCGAGCAGCTTCTTTGTTTCCTGAGTATGCTGTTTCTATTAACAAAGGCACAATCACAGGTAAATGGAGCAGAACCCATAACTAGTGGGCTCAGAGAGGTTGGGTAAAAATAATTGTAGCCCCTTAGCAACACTGCTGACTTCTCCTGTAGCAACATGCTGTTTACTCATCTGTGTGTGTGTGTGTGTGTGTGTGTGTGTGTGTGTGTGTGTGACGAAGAATTGCAGCCCAAAAAGGAGGCCTCTCGCTGGGAAAGGCCGAGAGGCTTTCTCCCTTCAGACACTAAGCAGAGGGCTTTGAAGTTAAAACAATAGGTGCGTTCACTGGACCTTCCCCTGGTGTAACAGGTGGGTGGGGGCCTCACTTTAGGGGCCACCGGCAGCGTCGAACAGGTTGCAGATCCCACCCACATAGAGTGCAAGGACAAGTGAATGAAATGCTACAGTGTCTTTCTTTCAGTTTGCCGACTGGAATACTGATGAAGCACATATCTGGTCTCTCTGGTGAAGTACTCTCTCTGTAGGAGTAGGTCAACCACCAAAACAACAATTAGATTTAGAAAATGTTTTTCTATTTTGGAGGTCCAGAGAGAACAGGGAGGGAGAAAGAAAGACCACAGAGAGGGACGCACAAAGGAGAGGGGAAAAGGTTTGGGAGTTGACCAAGACAAACAGTGTGTGCAACCAATGTAAATGTTGCCCTTTTTTTCCAGGCTTGGATGACTTGAAAGCATTACCAGATGCAGAATGAAGAGGAGAGAACGAAGGAGGAAGAGAAGTGAGAGAGACAGAACAAGAGTGAGGCAGGAAGGCATGAGCACATCTAAAAAGCATCGGAACTGTTCTTTTGAAAACATATATGAACATTTTGTGCCAGTATTAAACTAAGAAATTACCAGTTGGTGGCAATTTAAGGAATCATTTTAACCATCTAAAACATCTGTGGCACAGGGTACGGAAAGCTTCATTCACCCCTCTCTACGGCGTTCATCCAGCTGCTGAGGGAACGTTCTGATTCACTCTGAATGTGATGGACATTTTTAATTGATGCAAAGATGCGAGTGGACACAAATAGGTGCAAATTAGCTCTAGAAGGTGTGAAGTGAAGTAAAGACGCATTCGTGAGAGTTTAAAATAGAAAAAAAAATGACACCAACACGTTATTGTACACAAACTACATAAAATAAGGTAGCGGTACCTGAAAGGAAATTACAGGGAAGCTTTGAGATCAGTCAGAGAGACTGGTTTACAAGCTAGCTACAACTAACATCTGTGCAAGTGGTGCATTGGCTTTTTATGGCAAATAAACACAGAATGCACAAATACTTCAGCAGCCACGTTTGTACAGACAAACGGAGGTGAAATTTGCTTTGTGTTGCTCACACATCACACTCCTCGACTGTAATTAAGTTACGTGCAGCTACATCTGACCAGAACTCCAGAACAGTTGTGTCATCACGTTCAGAGAGTCAGCGATGACTCTGCTGAGGAGTTACTAATAGGTAAGAAGAAGTGTGGAGCCACTGGTGTTGCAGGGGTTAAATTCCCAGGTCCATAGAGAACCTTCTGCTAAATATGCTGGATGTAAGACAGTTCAGTGTCATGAATAAATGACCTACAGTGCTGGGAGAAGCAACAGGCTCACTAGACGGACTACAGCGGTATTCTGGTCCCAGCCACTGTATTCAAGTACCTGAAAACCAGCACCAAGGACCGAGGCTGCAGAAGAAGATCTGGGCACTGGCTGGGAGACAAGGAGCTGGCATAGAAAAACTAAAGCCTCTCTCACCCTCCCCTCACCATGCTGGCGAGGGCCCCCAGCAATCCTGCCTTTTAATGTCGCAATGTAAATCTCCAACATGGAGGGTTTACCCTTCTCTCTCCCTAAACGGCTCTCACTCCTCTTTCTTCTTGTGCCAAGCCCATCACAAGTGGGAGAGAGTTGGAGACTGGAGAGCTTTTAGCATCACCCCCTCCTAGCAGGAGTGGGCGACATCAGCCCCTCTCCTTGGTAACAGAGGGAAGAGGAAAGGGTGGGGAGATAAAACGCAAGACGCAGGGAGGAGGCGTGCGTGTTCTTTTGATGTGCTGTGCTGTTTGATGCCAGGTTGATATCTCCACTACTGAGATGGCAGTGCCCCCCCCCCCTTCCACAATTGCCTCCCCAAAAGTCTTGTCACTGACTCCCGTCGTCAAACCCTGTCACAAACGAGCTTCACAACCGTCTCGCTGCAGCCCCTTAATGAGCTGCGAGGCTCACGGAGGCTGGTTTGAAGATCAGCGTCTAGTGAACAGCAGAGCAGCACCTTCAAACTGAGGGAGAGTCATGGTAGCTACCCAAAGACATCTGTCATGGGTGCAGAGCATGATGGGCATTTAATAAGGCTCCAATTAACACTGGGAGCTCCTGTTGCTCCGTGCCCTGGCATTTCACAATGATGTATTATTGCAGCACATGTTCAAAAGTCGCAAATTGCAAAAGCAGTGAAAAGCCATGATGGTGCCAATGTCAGTCTCCACTTCCCCCAACTTCTAAGTTCGATGCTGACCTGGTGGTGATAATCACTGACAGCTTGAATGGCACCATTTATTCTGGAGAGACAATCCTAATTCAGCTTCATCTGACCGTATGAAGTCAGGAATTATAGGAGGTGTAGCCAGGGCTTGAAGTGGAAAAAATAGGTGCCAGTACTCCCCCCCCCCCCCGCACTATCTTCAACACTAAATTACTGTTTTATATTTATTTATTTATATATTTTTGTGGGTTGTTGTCATTTATTAAATTATTGTTCAAGAAAAATGCTCTACATGGTAAGTACAATGCAAACTAACTTGTCATAATCATTAACATTCATGTCGAAAAATTAGTTCAATATTTCAAAAGTTTGCTGATTGGGTCGTCACTTTTCACTGTGTTGTAAAGTGTGGGGACATAAGGACTCAGATTAGGGGTGTGACAACACTCTTGGGTCACGAGAACAACAATATGTTTTAACAGTATTTTGAATAAATATCCGATGCTGAAATTTAGCAGTGCGGGGGTCTGGAGGTCCTCCCCCAGAAGACTTTAAGCATTAAACATTTAATTTCTGCACCAATTTATGGTGGAAATGTATTTATTTATATGAAGGAAAACAAAATTAAGGTGGCAGGTGACAATTCAAAATATAATGGAATGTAATGTAGAAATCAGCAGCTTGTTGTTTTAGCTTAAGATACTTTTTTGGAAAATGCACATTTGTTTCTTCTATATTTCAACTGCATTGCATTTTTTCATATTGCGCATAGTTTCATTTGTTATTTAACATTTCTTGTTGCTGTTTTTTAGAACATTTTTAACAAAAGCTTTAAAAAAGTGATGGAGACATTCTGAGTCTGACCTGTCGCCAGCGTCCCCAGTGTAAATGACACCTATCTGTCAATATTTTTAAATGTCCCGCCCCATCCAGGCTGTAATTGGTTGGTTCACGAAATCTGACATTGATGAGCTACATTCAGCGCACGGCTGCGTGAAAGGTACCCGAGCTTCTCTTCTCCCTCGTCGACAGAGTTTAGCTGGCAGGCGAGAACGGGAGGGAACAGGTGAGCGTCAAGCAGCACCCAGAGAACCTAATATGGAGAAGGCAGAGGAGAGGACCTGCAGCTTGGGAGAAGTCCCGGTACACAAGAAAATGTCCTGGTACTCCAAAGAGCAAAATGTCGAGGTGCCGGTACTGTGTACTGGTGCGTACCGGTCCACTTCAAGCACTGGGTGTAGCTTATTAACAGACATGTAACAGTAACTGCTGTGCTCTCCCATGGAGACAGCAACCACGTTAAACCTCACAGCAGCGCTACCTTGTGGGCCATGTGCTGCCTGGATAGTAAGACATCATTATACTTCCAAGTAAGTGTCTGACACTTTTGTCATACGACCTTGTTCGTTTCAAGCATACTGAATCCTTCACGCTTTGTTGCTGCACTCAAAGGACTAGAGATTAGTGATGTGACTATCAAATGTTCATGCTACGATTATTGTGGGCACAAATATAATTGTAAACGGTATCATCTTTCCTGAAATACAAAAAAAAACCGAGTTGACATCATGGTTGCCTTGGATTTTATTAAACTTAAACTGAATACTGTATGAAGCAACTTGAGTGTTTTTTCTCCAGTGGCCTGTCCATCATCTCTCACTGATGAAAAACATATCATCCACCCAAAACCATTTTAGTAATCAGGTTCTACCATCTTGTGTTAAACTCAAACACAAGCAGCCTTAGCTAGATTCTTTGTGCTGTCTCTTAGTGCTACCTGTTGCACATTGGTGACAAACCTATGCTCCACTTGGCCTCTTTAACGCCTCTGAGCCCCATCTTGTGGAGAGTAAGGAGTTCATATTAATGATCATGTGATGAGGAGTGAATGAGAAGTGCAAGTAGCACCCTAGCCCATCCATCCATAAACTGCTCTGCCTTACTAGTACATTACCATCCCATATTTTCCATGTATAGGACAACACAGAGGGTGATTTTAAAATGGGCAAGGTGCATGGTGTTTTTCATTTTCAGTTCAGCACGGCTGTTGAGAAATGGTTTTCTAACATCAGTCCAAACTTTGCAGGAAAAACAAATGTTGGAGCCGGAAAAATCAATCCAGCGTGGATTTAAATGAAAATATTGTCCAACGTAAGCCTGGTAATATCTATTGGCAGGGTCTGACAAAGCCTTATGGAATCCATTTTGTGACAGCACAGAGGAAAACAGGCCGTGCTTGTGTTTTCGTGCTGTGGCTGCAGACAGTCTGCAGCAGCAGAGCCGTCACCGTGTCTGTTGTTGTGCCAGATCTCTGTAGCTTTTTCCCTCCAAAGTTAAATCTTAAACAAGGGCTCCTGTCACATCCTGAAGGCCACATATTTGCATTAATCAAAACAATGTCCCTGATGGATAAAGACGGCGGTGTGGGGAACTCGCAGTGGGGGATGTTTTTCTTTATTGGATGCAGAAGTCTTCTGGGAAGACTGCACAGCAGAGTACATGTAAAATCAGAGTTCTTTATCATGGTCTCTATGACCATGACAGTTTTTACTGATCACATGTGCCTTATAGCTGCACACCTTTACAACTGGAAACATTCGCACCTGCTGAGTACGAGCAGAGTTTGGTGTCAAGTGCCAGTGACCAGCAACTTGGCTGTAATATGACTAGGGTTGGGTATCGTGTAAATTTTTACAATACCAGTACCAAAAGCAGTACCCTTAAAGTGATACCGATACTTCATTCGATTCCTTGCATAAAATGCCACCTGTTGAAGCCATAGTAGTTGATTGGCAGCCTTTTTTTTAATTGTTATTATGGACAAGCAAGGTGATTTTATTTATTTTATTTTTATTTTTTTCTTGTTTCAAATAACTGTTACATAAAAGTATTGGGAAATTGTATCAGATCCTCCTCATCCTAATTATGTCATCCTCATGGGTAGTATTATACGGAGAAAGACTACAGCTTGCAAATGTTTGATCTGAATTAGAGAGGAGGAGTGAAATAGTTCAGTGACCAAATAAGTTGTGGGAAACGAATTTAAGGTAATTTTTTTATACGTGTTGAAAGTAAACAACGGAAAATTATTTTCTTAACTTTCGATCAATAAACTGAAATGAAAGATCTCCGCGAGTGCTTTTTCCTTTAGTGGTTAGTTGCAAACCTCCTCCAAAAACAACAGTCACAAGTAAAAACAAGTAAGGAGTCTATTAAAACAAGTCACTTAACTACATCAAAGACTCACAAACAGAGGAAAAGAGAATCCACATGTCCAGCCGATCAAAACAACTTCACCTGAAGCAGCCGCAGCCTCTGTGAGTAAAATCAGCTGATCAATCAGTGACAAGTGATGTTAATGGAAAATAAAAATGACAGAGAATTGTTAAATGATACCAGTAGATGAAACAAACAGAAAGCCAAGCTTGTGGTGATAAACTTGCAACAGTGACGAACATGCCTGAGACCGCAGCCAAAGGTGAGCGGTTGCTAACATCAGGCATGGACTTTTTTTATACAGTTTATGATGCAGGCCCATAAGTAAAAATAAAAGGCATGTTCTTCTCTTCCTTTTGGTGTGTTGCTTGCGTGTTTGGCTGCAAGCAAAACCATACAAATAGCCTAGTCATTTTTGCCATGATCTGGTTACAAAAAGTATCGACTGAAGTAGTGGTTTGACTGGAGACGTTTTGATTCGACTCTATACTGGGCTGTTTCGGTATTGAGTAGCGATACCATCCCTAGATATGACGCTCTGTTTCATTAACTGATGTGACACCATTCAAAAGCAAAAGACAAATTATGTCTTTTGCTTTTGAATGGTGTCACATCAGTGACAAGGTTGGTTTGCAAGGTAGAATACAGAAGCACTGTAGAAGACACATTGAATAAAAGCAAGCAAAGATGTATAATGAATTATATGAATATATCTTCTTGTAATTATTTTCCTGCAGTGATATCACCCCATTATATCGTTTTCTCCACTGGGTCAATACTGTAGTATGATTGGTGGCTGTCAGCAGCCCAGGGAGTGTCATTTATTGGTTTCAACTCAGCTGGGGGCCCATGGGGGGACATTGTTGTCCATCACTTAGCATCAACAGTGACCTCAGCACTTTGCATGTTACTACGTTTACTACGGGCGGCTGTGGCTCAGGAGATAGAGCGGGTTGCCCGTTAATCGGCGGTTCAATCCCCGGCTCCTCCAGGCTGCATGTTGAAGTGTCCTTGGGCAAGATACTGAACCCCGAATTGTCCCTGGTGGCTGTTCCGCAAGTGTATGAACGAGTGTGAATGTTAGTTTCCGTTTGAGCACTTAGGCTCAGTGAATGAATGAGTGTGAATGTTAGTTTCCGTTTGAGCACTTAGGCTCAGTGAATGAATGAGTGTGAATGGTGAATGCAGATGTAGTGTAAAAGCACTTTGAGTGGTCGAAAAGACTAGAAAGGCGCTATACGGAGCATTTACATTTGCGTGACTGATTCGAATCACTGCATAATGTATGGAGTGCTGGTTTTACAGTCCATGTCTGGATAAATGAAACAGAAACAGTTAACACTAACCGTATCATGATGCTGAATGTTATAAAGGGACAGACATCTTAAATCACAGATGGTTTGTAGCTAACGTAATGTGGACCTGATGGAAAATGCCTTGTATTAATGTTCATAGGATTGCTCGGGCAGCTCACCATAGAAGTTAACAATGTATCTCCTAACGGTGCCGGTTTTAAGAATGAGTGCTCAGGAACTGTGCTGGCCAGCTAGCAGGTGTCCTCAGACATCTATAACTTCCCCCTGAGCCAGGCTGTGGTCCCTGCGAGCTTCAAAAAGACCACCATCATTCCACTGCCTTTTAACAGTCACATGTCTCTGCCCCCTCCCCCATCCAAGACATCTTCTGGACACACTGTGTACCCACAGCCTCTGCCTTTATAAAGGACCCTTCCCACCCCTCATGCAGTGGGTTTGTCCCTCTACCATCAGGCAGGAGGTTCTGCAGCATCAGGACCCGCACTGCAAGGCTCTGCAGTAGCTTCTTCCCCTAAACTGTCAGAGCCCTGAATACCCTGGTGCCCCCCAACATCTCATCCCCATAATCGTCTCACCCCCATTGACATAGGACTCAAGAACATACGAATAACTGTCATTTTAAATAGACTACGGGCATTAAAATGTACAGCTGTACACTGACAAATTAATAGTTTGCGCTCTGGTTAAATTGCACTACCTGCTGTCTATCTGTCACTTTATTCACTGTTTACTGTGTATTGTTTTGTGTGTATCGGGTGAATGGTTTGAGGGCTGTGTTGCTCTGTCTATTGTAGTATGTTTTGAGGAGTTGTTTATTCTTGTGTTGTTTATTTCATTCAGATGTATACTTGTATGTGACAATAAAGCCTTGACTTGACTTTAAACTGACACTCAAGCAATGTCACGGGAAACACCCACGCAGAGGCTTGAGGCCAAAAAGAAAAAGGATCATATAAAAATAATAAACTAAACTCTAAAACCGGTTTTGGAGAACAGAAACTATGCACAATAGCTTAAGCATTATTACAATTTCATTTCCTTACATTAAAAGTGACACTAATTAAAATTTCAGTTTGATTTTGAAGGGCTGTGAAGGTGTAGGGTTAGATATCTGAATGTTTTTCACATTTTCTAGGTAGTTACTGATTTCCATTTATTTCACAGTCAACTTGCAGAGACCTCAAATTATACACATTATAATTTATTGCTGTCTAAATTGATGTCTTTTGTAGTAGATTACCTTAAGCAAGTTTCTAGTCTCTGCAGACAGATCTTCATACAGTGTGTAACAGTGTGTAAGTGTGCAGTTTTGCCTTGACAGATGCACATGTGAAAGAGTGCTGTAAATTATTCAGGTACGGTTGACTTTAATGCTGGCGGTGATGCGAGCTGAAGATGCAGTACTTACTCATCATCTGGTGTTAGCTGCACTGGTTCATTAGTAAACTGCGTGTCGAAGTTTTCGAGGCCGTAGTCATCAGAGATTTGAGGTTTGAAGGGTGGTGTCACCTCTTTCTTCTCCAGCTGAGGGAAAACAACCACATAAAAATGTATTACATATAACAACTGTTTTCACTCAGTGACGGGGGGCGGAGACCGAGCAGGATAAAGTGCTCTAAGTTCTGTAAACTCTACATTTACAGGGCATTCATTTGCTGCATGCATGCAACTGAGATCAAAATAGAAGGAAACACACACATCACTAATTATCTAAAGGACATGGAGCTGTATTTAAGCGCTGATTCCATGAAGTGTCACATTAATCAACCTTTTTTAGCTCACATTTTAAAGCTCTGAAGTGTACACTGACAGCAGTGTTTGCAGCTTCATCAAACTAATGGACATGAGAACTGTCGCTTCTTGCAACACCCTCACTTATCAGAATCTGCTTTATTGTCCAGGAGGCTCACACCTACAAGGAATGTGTTTTGGTGGTTTGGTGCATTACAATAAACATTAAATATATTAAGATTAAAAATATTAAATTGACATGGTATAAAACATTTTAGGATAATAGTAATTCAGAATCAGGTTTACATTGGCAATTTACAGTATGTACTGTAAAAAACTGGTGGCTTGAGATTTTGGTCCTGATGGACCGCAGCCTCTTGCCGAAGGGGAGAGTCTGAAACAGTCTGTGTCTGAAGTGGGAGGGGTCGGCCTCAATCTCTCCTGCTCGCCTCAGAGTCCTGGAGGCGTACAGGTCCTGGAGTGATGGTAGACTGCAGCCAATCACTTCTCTGCAAAACGAATGATACGCTGTGGTCTGCCTTTGTCCTTTGGCAGTGGCAGCAGGGACCAGATGGTGATGGAGGAGGTGAGGACGGACTCCATGATGGCGGTGTAGACGGCGCTCAAAAGACTTCATTACAACAGAGGGCTGGGTGACAGGTCTTATGCTGTCTTATTGGAAAGGCAGTTGCCTCCGCTGTTTTCTGTGTAAACATGATGGGAGCAACAAGGAGTTGCTGCGGTTCAACTTTTTCAACTTTTAGCCGCGGCTCGCTGTGTGACCATGGCAACCACAGACACCACATAGGGTTAAACGATACAGGAGCGAATAATACTGTATCTGAGTTTCCTGAATGATTCCCCTCTTCGCCAGCAGAGAACAAACAGAACAATGAAGAGAAACCTCACTGCAGCTACATCACAGCTTCAAGTCTGATTATCAGGGACAACAAAAGTTAATTATACTAGTTAGCAAATCCTGCATAATAATCATGTCGTATTGCTCCTGTTTTACTCTCCAAACTGCTCTATTTAGCTGTGTGATGAGGTGATATCAGGTGGACAGCAGCAGTCTGTGGCGTACAGGCTGGTAGGATTGGTGGTCAGCACCTCCGGCGTTGCACAAGCTGCCGCTGATTCAAACTGTAGAACGCGGACTCACTGTCCTTTACCTTGAGGTAATAATGTGCTCCTTGGCCTTGAAAGTAATGCTTAGTTACTTCTATAAGTAGGAAGCTAGCTAGCCGGGCAGTCTAACAGTAGTGCAGACACACAGTTTATTCCAGCAAATGCACAATTTTTGTTTGTTTGTTTGCTAGTAACTACAGCGAGCAGCTGTTTTAGGAAATTACAGGGCCTCATGAAAAATGAAACTATATTTCTGTGAGGTGTTTTCAAAGATTTATGTCTTCAGTAGGAATCAATGAGCTTGGAGCTGAGAGCCATAGACAGGAAGTCAGACAGTACTGAGAGACGGACTGACATGTTGTTAGTTTAGTAGTTACAGAAGAGTGAGACAAACTTTTTTTTCAATGAATAGACAGAGCTACCTGAGGTTGATTCTGCCGTCAGCCATCAGGATGTTCAATCAATGATCTATCTGTCTGTCTATCTAATGTTTAAATGTCAAACGTTTTAATTGATGTTTGACAAATGTCATCAATACCTTCTTTTGACAGAGTCAGTGTCTGATAAATCTAAGGAAAGAAGAGGCACCTTGACGATCTGGCAGGGCGCTCAACAAACAGTGTGACATACATAACATCAGTTTATACACTGTGGCTCTTCCGTATAGTTCGACAGATCTGCTGCACCTCGTTGCTTCATTTATCAGTGGCAAAAAGAAAGGACTGAAAAAGGGAGAGAAAAACAGCAGCGTGGAGAGAGCTGAGGCAGGAGAGTAATTGTGCCCGAGTGATTCAGCCGGCAGAGTTTTTGTCTGGTTTGTTTCCATGGTTTCACATCAGTCCCTCATCCTGTTCAAATGCACCGAGGAAATTTTCTGAGAACACAATGAAGTCAGATGGGCATGCAAGCCACAGGTACTCTGTGTTGTTTGCTCAATCTAAGAATATACTACTTTTTAAAACCCTGGTTTGAAGAAGGCTTAGCGGAAGCTTAAAATAGAGGTAAATCAATACGTTTTTTAAAGGCGGATCCAGGTGCTGTCTAATATCTTCCAGCTAAATCAGTTTATGTCAAAAAGTTTTTTTCTGTTTCCCTCAAAAAAGACAATACATTTTGGATTAAATTTGTAGTTATAATAATAGAATAGCAGCACAATAATGAAGATCTTGATACCTAGAGGTTCCATTATTATTATTATTTTAAGGCTGCGACCTTAAAGCTAAAGTCAGTCAATAATGTGTGTGTGTGTGTGTGTGTGTGTGTGTGTGTGTGTGTGTGTGTGTGTCCTGGGAGAGAAGCCTGATGATTGTGTGTAAACATGTTTGTTTACACCGCCTGTCAAACCTTTTCTGCTGGAAGTAAGTGAAGATCACCAGACATGAAAGATCAATATTTCTCTATGTCTATTATTGTTATCGTCTTAATAAAAACAAAACAATAATAATAAGGACACGTACCAGACTTCACACAGCTCCCTCTCAACACACAAAAGGCTTCATACAGTTCCTTTTAACCAAATCGTTTTTTGTTAAACCAGATCACAGCGGTGACAGATCAGAAAATTGCTTTTGTAATACTCATGTGAGTCGTTCTGGAAGGAATACTGAGGACTCTATTAAACATTCACAACTTGCTTTCCAGCTCCACTTTTTGTTTGTTGGTAGTTTCATGAGAGTCTATGTGTGTTTTAGTTCTTGAAAAAGTCCTGGTGCTCCTACTGATTTTTGCAGCAGCTTCTTTGCTTCATTAGTGTTATTGGTTCAAAGCGAAAACAGCTTCAAACAAACAAACAACACGAAACAGCCCACTTTCTCTCTGAGACAGAAACGCTTCCCTTCGCTCCCTCGCCATCAAATTGGCCCACCTTCCCCACAATCTCTCTCTCTCTCTCTCTCTCTGCTAATTTCTTTTTCAGCATTTTCAGCGCCTACCTACACTCCCCTGTCAGTTTCACCCCCTCACATCCTGTCTCCGTCTCTCTCCTCTCAGTTTGTCTCTGTCAATTCTTTCATCTCCTCACATCGCTCTCCTCTCTCCTCCTACTTTCCCCAGTCTCTCTGATGTGTTGTTGGGCAGGCTGCAGCTCTGTGTGGTGGTAATGAAGCGGACCGAAGGCCAGCACCTTCGCAGACACACGCACACAAACACACACACACGGGAAGCCCCTGAGGCCAGAGGGGCACATGAAAGAGGTAACTGTGTGCCGGGGTTATACAGGTGGTCCGTCGGTTCTCAGATCACCACACGTCAGTTTGTGTGTGTATGTGCGTGTGTGTGCATGCCTGTGTACATTCCAGCCGCATCGATGTTTTCAGAACTTGATTGAAAGAGGTGACAATCGGCCTGATCTGAAGCTGCTGTTAATAAGGATGCACCGAAATGAAAATTCTTGGCCAAAGCTGAATACCATTTTTTTTTTACCGTTGCATAAATTAAATAGTTTGGAGAGACTATGGTGGGGGGGTCCGAGGCCCGAGAGGGTCCGGTAAAGTAAATTACACTTGTCTCTTTCCTTTTAATGGACACGTGTAATATGTTTTATACTTTCTGTGAATATAATCCAATTAATCTTATTTCCATCCTGTATAGACGCCTTATTTTGAAAACCAGACCTACCCAATTTGATAAATAATGTTGTATGTGGTTCTCGTATGGCGTAACATGAAGACTTCATGGCCTCTCTTCAGGTAGGACTTTGTAAAGAGAGAAACTGACTGATAAAGTCGCTAACCTTGAATGAAGGCTTGAATACGTGTGCACTCCAAATTTAGGTGCGGCTAGCTTAATCGCCTTCTCAGAAACGAGTAACAGAAACACTCAAAGTGGATCCGACCGTTTGTTGCCTTTTCTAGTCAGCCACAGATGGAGTGGATGTGCTAGGAGACAATTCAGACCGTTAACGACCGTTAACAGATGTGAAGCAATGCGTGTCACACACACACACACGACACTGCAGAGTCTGAGTGGCTCTCTTCGTCTGTCCGTCGTTCTCCACAGTCGTGTAAAAGCAAATCTCCATTTTTTAAGTTTTGGAAGTGAAATATATTTGAAAATATCTGCTTCCCACAACGAAACATGCAGATGTTTATGTAAACAACATGTTTGGAAAGAAAACATAGTACTGTGTGTATGTGTGTGTTTGTTGTTAAGCTTTAAGTTCCCATCAAATCAAAATGTTTTTATGATGTGCCTTGCACTGTAGCCACCAATGCACCAGGATCCGGCCCAACACGGACAAAAGCATTGTTTTGAAGGTATTCTTGATGGTATTTTACAATTTGTCATTTCCTGGAAAACGATTTCAAAATGTTGATGACTCATCCTGCACCCGGGGGCGTGTATTAATTTAGTATCCAATGAAAAGGTTTCTCAATTCTTATGACGCCACTGGAGATGAGTGTTTCTGGGGGCTTACTGGGTCCCACTGATTAATGTACAAAAACACAACTTTATTCTCTGATTTTGGTGAAAATGGATCATTTGTTTATTCAGAACACCAGCCAGAAAACTCTAGTGTGTTAAACCCACATGATCTGACGAAAGAGAGCTACCTGATTGGTCTAACTCGACTGCTACCTCAGTGGAGCTCTTGCTGGACTTGGCATTGTTGTACAGAACAAAGACAGAGAATTTTATCCTCCATGTCTTTATCGCCTCTTGTCTAT